CCAGGGCCAGTGTGCCATGGTTACTGGGGATCGAACCCCACTCCCTGCGCTTGCCTAAGTAGGCGCTTAGTCCACTGAGCTCTCTCGCTGGCCCTTCTCTGGTTCTCTTATGGGTAGCTCACGAGGTGGATGCTTCTATGTAGATAAAAGGAGACTAGGAGTCCAGCTGAGTACCGAGGTACTGTTCGAGTATGGGGCTTGACAGAGGGATGCTGCTGGGAAGCACTACAAAGGGAGCTTGGACGTGATGCTTCACCTGTGAGGTGCACACACCCACGCCACCTGGCTTTGCATGCTCCCAAATGTCCTGGCCCCTCTGGACAAGGACATGCTTTGTTCCCCCTGGGGCCCTTGAATACTAAGTTCTGCCCAAGAGGAATCTGATTTCTGCTTTGATGCTGTCTCCCTGGCCTGCCTCTCCTTTCTTCTCACCTTAGAATTGTGTTTTTGCCTGTGGACCCCACGGGCTAGCAGGTGACGCTGTAGTTTAGGGCTGAGTGCTGTTGTTACCTGGGCAGCTGTTTGCACTAAAGGTTTGTTTCCTCTCATAGGACACCATGAAACCCCGCTGTCTGCCTCTACCAAGATGCTGGAGAGATTCCCCAACAACCTGCCCAAACATCGGGAAAATGTGATTCCTGCTGACTCGGAGAGAAAGAGCTTTGAGAAGGTGAGCTGGGAAGTGAGCTGCCCAGCTGCCACCGACCTGTGAGGGCTGGGGCACTGGGGTTCGCCCTCGCAGGGAGGGCCACGCCAAGGTCCACGGCACCGAGCTGAGTGGGAGGGCAGACGGGGCCCAGCAGGGAGTGGCAAGGAAGGGAGAGTGCAGGAAAAGCGGCGGGGAGAGCAGAGGGAGGCGCGGGTGAGCAGGAACTGGAAGGCACTGGAGGGAGAGCGAGGCCCAGGCCTTGAGGTACGAAGGATGAGGGGTGCAAGGAGACACAGCTGTCAGGGGGCTGTGGGAAATGAGCTCCTGTGCCGGCAGGATGGGCACAAGAGCAGACCTCTGTGAAGAGGGAGACCTAAGCGCTGGAAGCTGAGAGCAGCCTTCTGAAAGTGGCCTCCTAGCCAGGCACGGTGGCGCACACCCATAACTCCAGTATAGAGGAGGCTGAGGCAGGAGGATTACCGAAAGTTGGAGGCCAGTCTGAGCTAGTTTGAGACCGTCTCAAAAAAAAAGTCCAAACACTAAGAAAATGGCCTTCTTTGGCTGTGTGGTGTGGCAAAGCCTTGGGCTGGTAGGGCCTGGGGGAGTGGAGCCTCAGGTAGTCGGGAGGCCATCCCAGGTGGTGGCTGCTGGGAGAGTCTGTGAGACTTACGAGACAGGGTGTGCCACAGGGCTGTGGGCTCTCAGCAGAGACAGAAAGTCGAGGAGAGCTAAGAGGGGATTTTCCACACAGAAGTAGGCAGTACCAGGGCTTGCCTAGATCTCAAAGCCAGAGTGGGGAGAGTGGAAAGTGCTCAGGGCTGCATTCTGAGATCGTGGGTAAATGAGTCCAGCAGCCCGCTGAACTCAGCCCCGACCTTCCTTATCTCCTCTGCGGTGCTGTCTGTTACTTACTGCCTTCCCCCGTCAGAGGCCTGGGGTCAAAGAGGCCATTGTCTAGGTCCCCACCAGTCAGCTCTGTGGGGCATGGCGGGTGCTCTCAGCAGACGCCCTGTGTGATCAGCAGAGGGGCCAGAGAGACACCGGGGGTCTTGGGCTGGGATGGAGAAAGGGCTGAGCTGGAGACAGGAGGCCACCGACTGACTTGGGCGCCCAGGCACAGCAAACGCGTCTGGGAGGCGTCGGGGGGTCCAGGGGAAGGGGTCCAGGGCACAGTGCCTGTGTCCTTCCCTCTGGAGATCGCCAGGTTGGACAAGTCTGCGATATTAAACACTTGGAAAATAAAGTATAAAGAAGGAGAGAAGACAGCAGGCAGCTAGCTAGCCATAGCAGCTGGTCCAGATTATTTTTCTCTTCTTTCCTTTTTTTTTTTTTTTTTTTTTTTGTACAGAGATTGAACCCAGAGTCTTTCACACTGAGCTGTTACATCCTCAGCCCTTATTATTATTTTTTTTTAAGAGCAGAATATATGTATTAGGGGAAAAATGCTGCGTCTGAGAGAGATTCAAAGGGGTCCTGAGCCCAGTCCCTTTTAAAATTATTTTTTCTTTTCTTTCTTTCTTTTTAAATTTAATTCGTACAGAGCCTCACTATATAGCTCAGACCCACAGTGATCCTACTGTTTTCAGCCTCCCCAGCACTGGGATTACAGGCGTGTGCCACTATACCTGATCTATGTGGCTGGCTTAGTATGCCACTGGGGGTGGTGGGGGCAGACGTGGCATGTGGTACAGGGATCAAACCCTGGTCCCTGCGCTTGCCTAAGCAGGCGCTTAGTCTGCTGAGCTATCTTATGGGCCCTATTTTTTTCTTTTTCGAGAGAGTCTAACTACGTAGCCCAGTCTGGCCTCAGACTTGTGGTGATCCTCCTGTCTTAGCCTCTCCTGGGGTTATAGGCGTGAGTGAACCATCATGCCCAGTTCATAGTACAGATTTTCATGTTCAGCCATCTGATCTTAAAACATCTTTTTTAAAAGCCATCAAAATCCTGGCAAGCACAAGGGCCTGAGTTCAATTCCCAGTACCAAAAAAAAAAAAAAAAAAAAAGCCATCAAAATATTCTCAGATATGACTTCATGATGGTGAGACTGACTTTTTGAACACTTAGGAGCAGACAGGTATTAGGAGTATCACCCCTGTCGTAGACTCAGCAGGCGTTCCTCAGCCTGCTGTGCGCCAGGCAGGCCACACTTGTCGAACTGTGAGGACACGGAGGGAGGCATGAGCAGAGCAGGATGTCCCTGGAAGAGCTCGGAGCCTTTGGGAAGGGAGAGAAGGGCTGGAGAGGCAGACACCTGCGATGGTGGGATGCCACTCCACGCGGCACAGCAGCACACGCAACCAGGAGGCTGTGTTGCCTTCTTCAGGCAACACTAACAACCTGCCTTGAACACTAGGTGTTGGAGAAGAGCTCAGTACATTTTTCTCAAAAGTTACAGAAACCAGGCACAATGGCGTATCCCTGTAATCCCAGCCAGGCCTACCTAGCGCGCTCCAGGCCAGTCAGAGCTCCTTGGCAAAGCCCGTCGTTCTCAGTCTCTGCATATATTCCATGCGGCTCCAGAGGCGCAGGGGGAGGGCTCCTTTAATCTGGGGGCTCTAAATAAAAAATTTTTTTAGTAAAAGCTAAATGCTTTCTGATGCTTTTAAAAAACTTTGGAAAAATTCCAATATTTGGATAATTGATTTTAGTTTTGGAGTTTCGCTGAAAGTTTACAGACTATGAGAACAGAGTGTCAGTACTTTACAGGCACCTGCTGCCCATGTGGGCAGCTTTCTTTTTGCATGTGGCAAGATATTATCAAAATGACTACCAACGTCTAACCAGACTGTTACAGATAATTTCAGGTTCCCTGAACACCAGCTCTGCCATCAAAGGAGGAAGTGTTTTGTCTTTAGAAGATTTTTCAAAAGAATGTCAGGATCTGAAGGCATTTCCAAAAATACTGCTCTGAAACTGGTTTTTGAGCAGTAGCAGCCACTGCAGAAATGTGTGGTGTGTCAGAGCGATGGCTGGGAGTGACGACGGGCACAGGACTGCGCGGCTCTTGATGAGCTAAGAGGGAAAGCAGTGTACCTGGGAGCACTTCCGGTCATTCACAAGTGTGTGTCTGGCTCAGAACTCTGTGGTGATGTGGTGACTTTGTTCCATCCAAGGTTATCAACCTGGTTGACCAAACTTCAGCAAACGCACCCAGCACCGTGTCCCCGGATGTGGAGGAGCAGCTGGCTCGTGCGCCCGCCAAACCCGAGGCGCCTGTGGACTCCACGCTCAAGGACGTGGCCACCATCATCCTGAGCACCTTCCTACTGGTCGGCTGGGTGGCCTTCGTCATCTCCTACCCCCTGGTGAGGCTCGGGCCGGCTGTGTCCCCGGCACCCTGCAGGCTCCTGTCAGCGAGGCCCAGACAAAAGCAGCCATAATGTTGCTTTTCACGTTTAGAGCTCAGTATTTGTTTACCTTCCAAAACGTTATAGCAGAGGAGCTTCTCAGAAAAGATAACTTTGAACCTAAATTTAGTATTTTTCAATACACAGGTGAGAAAGGTAATATTTAAATTTGCCCACAGAGCATTTTGAATAGTTAATTCTATCTTCCTTTTTAACAGTAAGAATAATGGATGAGACCCTTTCCTCTGACTGCTGTTAAAGTCAGCTGGTGTGGAAAAGGAGCCTTCAGCTTTCTAGTGGGAGATGAGCAGCGAGCATTACGGGGTTAGGAGGTGGTGGGTGCGAGGAGAGGTCGGTCCCTTTGGCAAGTCGCTTAAGCACTGTGGCGTCATCTGCTCCGGACGCAGCGTTCCTGTGGGAGTCAGGTGGCAAAGCCTGCATGCACTTGCCATCTGCAGGCAAAGATTGCTCTGTGGTTTAAGTCCTGCACTCCTGTGAGGCTGTTAGGCGCCTGCTGTTCACAGTAGAGTAAAGTAGGTTCTGCGAAGCTGAGTACCTTCCTGGCGAGTGGTGCTTCAGGACTTGAGTGCAGAAGGCACAGCTAGAAGCCCCCAGTGCCCGTTGGCCATGCCTGGGCCTTCTGTCAGCTTCCCCAGCCTGGGCCGAGGAACCACAGGCCGGTGCTGCCGCCGCTGCTGCTGCTGGAGCAGACCGTTCAGAGTCTGAGAGGAGCGGGTGAGGGAGGCAGGCGATGGAATCGGGGGCAGGTTCCTGTCCCCCCAGCTCATGCTGGCCACGTGGCCATGCGTGGGTGGCAATAAACTTCTGAGTCCCTGCTTGCTGTCTGCCTCTGGCTTGCCAGGCACCTGCTAACTTCGTCAGTGCGCAGCTCTGGCCTGCTTCTGCCCCTCTGTGACTGGCTGTTCTTTCCTTTTGGCTCACTTTTATACCCCCTCTCAACTTCCATGTTGTAGAATTCTGAATTACTTCTCTACAGCCTCCTTCCTGTGGCCCAGCCTTCTACCTGGGGCAGAGCCCTCTGGTGTTCTGTCATTTATCACCTAGCCAGCCCGCCAGGCTTGGACGTGGGTTGTCCTGGGAAGGCCTAACTGGCAGAAGGACCCACAAACTTCCAATGGACTTGGCCAAAATTTCATTCTGTCGTCCTCGGGCTCCTGGTGACTTGGGAGTCCTCTGGCCTCCTCTGCCACGGGGAGCTGCCCCTTCCCTGCCGATCTCCCTGGGGGAGCACCATCCAAGTCTGACGAAGCTGTATCTTTGCAGAGCATGCACCAGCAGCGGCAGCTCCAGCACCAGCAGTTCCAGAAGGAGCTGGAGAAGATCCAGCTCCTGCAGCAGCAGCAGCAGCTGCAGCTGCCCTTCCACCCGCCTGGAGAGCTGATGCAGGACGCCGAGCTCCTGGACACCTCCAGCCCTTACTCAGAGAGCTCAGGGACCAGCAGCCCCAGCCCGTCCCCCAGAGCCTCCAACCACTCGCTCCATTCCAGTGGCTCTGCCTCCAAGGCTGGCACCAGCACCTCCCTGGAGCAGGATGACGAGGGTAGGCCCCTTGCCACTTCTGTGCTGCTTTGTGTCCCCTTTGTTGCTGCATGCAAACCATAACGCACCTTCCGTGGCATCTCTGTGAGATTAGAGAGGGCTGTTCCCAAGGCTGCGTGGTGCCCCTGCCTTCCTCCCACACTGTGGTCCTGAGGGATGGGCTCCTGCCCCCAGAGGACTTCACAGGTTGTGTCAGTGCTCCTCCCATCGGCCCTGCAGGGTGGAGCTAACCCTTAGGCTTGTGAGAACTCCAGGGCCTGCGAGTGGACAGTAGAAAAGAGCAGCTGCGACCTACTTTCAGGAGTGACTGAGGCCAGAGGTCAAGGCTCAGATTCTGTGGGGACCGAGAGTGTGGCGGAACCCCAGAGTCCTGGCTCTCGAAGTCTCTTCAGTTTACACTTCCACCATCTCCGCTGGAAGGCTCAGGCGCAGAGCTTCAGGCTGGGGCAGCCTGGTGCAAACGGTAGCAAGCATAGCCCTGTGTCTCCTGCCAGAGCCTGGCACACGGAGCCTCGTAAGTCCCAGTTTCCTGCTTGAGTTGAAGTCAGGAAGTTGGTAGCCATTTTTAGCCCTGAAGGGTTTTGGAGGTTTTTTTATTGTTGTCACTCTTATTTTGTCTTTTTGAGACAGGGTCTCACTATGCAGTCCAGGCTGGCCTTGAGCTCACTTTGTAGTCCAGGCTGGCCTTGAACCCCCAGCTATCCTCCTACCTCGGCCTCCCAAGTGCTGGGATTGTAGGCATGTGCCACCACACCCAGTGGTAATCACTGTTTACAATGATTTCTTCTGTCTCATGTTTTGTTCCAGAAGAGGAAACCAGCATGGTGATAGTTGGAAAAATTTCATTCTGTCCCAAAGATGTGCTGGGCCATGGAGCTGAGGGCACCATTGTGTACCGGTAAGTGCAGAGCCAGTCCCATGCCCCCCACCCCCGCGTCTGGTGGGCAGCACACCAGTACCAGGCTCCAGGGCCCCGAGACCAAAGCAGTGCCCAGCACTCACCTGAGAAGAGCAGGAATGGCCCAGCTGCCTGGAGGGCCAGGCCTGTGGGCTGTGGGGCCACGAGGTGGCCCCGGTGCCACAGGGCAGCCCTGTGGTCCGGGGTCACATCTTCCTTCCACAGCCCGACGTGCACTCCGCATACACCTGCCACCCCTTGTCATGCAGGGGCATGTTTGACAGTCGAGACGTGGCTGTGAAGAGGATCCTGCCCGAGTGTTTCAGCTTTGCAGCCCGCGAGGTCCAACTGCTGCGGGAGTCGGACGAGCACCCCAACGTGATCCGCTACTTCTGCACGGAGAGGGACCGGCAGTTCCAGTACATCGCCATCGAGCTGTGTGCGGCCACCCTGCAGGAGGTGGGCCTGGCTGGCCGCGAATGCCAGCGTTGCCTACAGTTTGAGCACAACTGCCGCAGCCTCCCCTCCTCTACCAATTGGGGTGCTGTTTTAGGGACTGCAGACTGACTATTGTTATCATTTCATTTATTAACTTCACTGAAGTTTAGTGTAGTGAGGTGCACTCATCCTAAGTGGACGGCTTGCTGTACATGGACAGACGTGCGTGTGTGTGTGTGTGACCACGCACGCCCAGTGCAGCACGGCCTAGTCTACTCTGCACCCTGGGGCTGCCTTAGCTTGCAGTGGGGACAGCCCTGCCCGCTTGCCTCCAGGAGCTCAAGTCTCATCTTCTGCCTCTGTTTTTGGCCCATGTGGGCTTGGAGTTCGCTGGTTGCTACTCCAGGCCAAAAGATCCAGCAAGCTCCCCAGTTTTGAGGCTCAGCGATGAATTTGAATCTCACTTTATCTTTCCCGTGGTAAATTAGTACACTGGAGCTTTACTTAGGTCAGCCCATTCTTTCAGGAGGTCTTTGGAAAACACAGGTATTGACGGAGAATGTTGGATCAGAAGCCAGGAAGGCCTGATGGCCGCGTGCCCTGACCGGGCCATTGCATGTCTTGCAGTACGTGGAGCAGAAGGACTTCGCCCACCTTGGCCTGGAGCCCATCGCCTTGCTGCAGCAGACCACCTCGGGCCTGGCACATCTCCACTCCCTCAACATCGGTGAGAGGCCTGTGCTGGCAGGGCTGGCGGGAGGAGCCACAGCTGCCTGGCGCTGTGCTTCCTTAACTCCGCGATGTGCAGGAGCGGGGGAATGTCAGATGGTCTCTAGACACAGTGCGTAAGAATTTAAGATAGAATCGTGCGTAGCTGAAAATCAGAGCTTTAGAGATGGCAGCGAGCACATCGGGAGTCTGCTGGGGGCCCAGCCGTCTTGGAGGAGGCCAGGGCAGCTGCGTGAGCAGGGTAGCAGCGGCGAGCCTTTAAGGCGAGCACCCGAACTGCAGCCCACCTGAGCACTGAACGCTGAGAGCTTAGTTCAGAAGAACCAGGCAGCAGTCCTTGGCTGCTGGGGCAGTGTGGCTTGCATGCCCACAGGGGCGCTGCTGCCCTAGGCTCACCACCTTTGCCTTGTGTGACGGGCGTTCTCTCTTTCAGTTCACAGAGATCTGAAGCCCCACAATATCCTGCTCTCCATGCCCAATGCACACGGCAGGATCAAGGCCATGATCTCGGACTTTGGCCTCTGCAAGAAGTTAGCAGTGGGCAGGCACAGTTTCAGCCGCCGATCTGGGGTGCCAGGCACCGAGGGCTGGATTGCCCCCGAGATGCTGAGCGAAGACTGCAAGGAGAACCCTGTGAGTAACAGGCTTCGTGATCTGAAACCACAAACTGGGTTAGAACCTTCCCGGCCAAGGGTGGGGCTGGGGCACGCGTTGCTGGGAAAAGACATTGCTGGGCCCGAGAGCTTCCTCGCCAGTATCCCATGTGGCCGGGTGTTCAGACATAAGGTGGGACCAGAACTGGTCTTTTCTTTTTTCCCTACTCTTCCAATCACTTTTCTTTTACAGCACTAATGATTGAAAGTAGGGCTTTGCACACCAGGGGAGCAGTCTGCACAGAGCTACTTCTCTAGCCTTTTGCTTTTGTTGGGAGGGACTCACTAACTCCCTGGCTGGTCTCCAACTTGCAGCCCTTCTGCCTCAGTTTCCCACGTAGCTAGGATTGTAGGTATGTACCACCCAGACTGGACTCTTCCAATCACTTTTAACCTTTATTGTTTTGGGTAGCTGGGATAATCCAGACTTGCATAAGAGGATGAGACCTCCAGCTTCACTGTTTTTTACATTTAATTCTGTTTTTACAGCTTTTGACTTTGAGACTTTGTAGACATTACAGAAAATTGAAAGAAGTTTCTGTGACCTCTGTGCTTCCCCTGGTCCCAGCCTTTGTTGTATTTGGCTGCATTTGCACTACCTTTTATTTATTTGTCACTGAAGCCTGAGAATATAAATCGCAGGCCTCCCAGCCCTGAACAGGGAGCACACGTCTCTGTGAGCAGGCACAGCTGCCTCCTCGCCACCGTGCCCGCATCACGTGCCACGCCCGGGTCCTGAGTGCCGTCTTGCCCTCACCCTCTCATCTGACTGTTGCTGCATGTCGCGTTTCCCATCTGTCCCCTAACGGTTTTACACGTGGGGTCTTGTGTGCCAGGACCTGCTGAGTGTGTTGTGTTGCATTTGACTATCTCTCTAAATTCACAGTGGTCTCTTTCTGTTTTGTTCCCCAGCGCTGGCTTTTTGGAGCCAGGTAGCGGTTTGTAGAATGCCCCGTTCTGGGCTTGTCTGTCTCCTGCAGGAGACAGGGCTTGTCATTTCTCTCTGTTCTTCATACCTCTTGTGAACTAGAAGTGAGGTCTCTTGGCTCGATGGAATGCAAGTGAAATGACTGGGTCAAGGGTAGAGCCCAGGTCGCTGCGCCGGAAGGTTCCTGATGGCAGGCGGTACATTACCACAGCGCCTGCCTCTTCAGGGATGCCAGCTTGGATTGGTTATATCAGCTGTCTCTGCTGCAAAAGTTCCTCCCCCCCCTCTTTTTTTTTAAGCAAGTCCTGCACAAGGTAACCCTCAGCAGAGTGTATGGCAGTCACTGGCCCGGTAGCTTGCATTCTTGCCTGAAGCATTCACAGCAATGACATTCTTCTACATTTATTTGTCGGCATTTTTTAGGCAAAGAATAGCTGTGTTTTTACACCCTATTTGCTCATCCTCCCCCTCCTCCTTGGCCTTTTCTTTTCCGTAGTCACTGTGGCCTCAAGGACTTTTTTTGAATGTATTTAGTTCAGGGTCTCACTATGCAGCTCAGACTCATGGTGATCCTCCTGTCCTCAGCCTCTTGTGCTGGGATTACAGGCGTGCGCCACCACATCTGGACTCCGTGTCTGGCTCAATGACCCGGGGGTGATGCGGGATCCAACCCTGGTCCCTGTGTTTGCCTAAGCAGGTGTTTAGTCTGCTGAACTCTCACCGACCCAAGGATTTTTCTTTTAAAAGAGGGCCTTGCTGTCTGGCTCAGGGTAGTGCTGAACTCACTCTAGCCCAGACTGGCTCAAACCTGAGGCAGTCCTCCTACCTCAGCCTCCCAAGTGCTGGGAGAGTCACGTGCCACTGTGCCCAGCATGGATTTTCAAGTAGTATCGTAATCAATTTTTACTTTTGCCCTTTCTTCTGATACTCAGATTGTTTCAAATTTAGCCAACAAGAGCCCCTTCAAGCTGGTGTTGGCATCCTTTTGCCAAGAGTCCACTTGTGGTTGAGTGTCTCACTCAATGGCACAGAGGCGCACCTTGCCTGGTGTGGTGCCACATGCCTGTAGTCCCAGCGGGAAGCAGGGCGTGGGTCTATGGGAAGGCATGGCTGCAGTTGGGCAAGGGCGCCAGCTGTGAGCTGTGCCTTCCTGTCCCATACCTGTCACCTGCCCACAGAAAATTCTGAGTAGAATTAAGAGTCCCAGGTCTAAGATGTGAGTCTTGCCCTGGTTTGTCACTAGCAGCTTGTCCTGCTAGCTTGTCCTTAAACACTTCTTTTTGTTTCTTTATCTGGGATGATGTCATTTGCTCTGCTCCCCAACAAGGCTGCCGTGAGCTGAGCATGCTATATCAGGAAAGGCTTTTTTGGGCTGGTGAGATGGCTCAGTGGTCTAAAGCACCTACTTAGAACAAGCTTAGCAAAGCACAGGGACCGCGGTTCAATCCCCCAGCACCACATGCCAGCCAGCCCCGCCCCCTGGTGGGCTGAGCTGCCCCCCACACACAAAATAAATAAAATAATAATAAAAAAAAAAGACAAGGAAAGGCTTTTTTGGTCAATTTGGCTTTGTCTCCCAGGTTGTCTGGTGGAGAATCTAAGAGGGGAGTCGTCAGTTAGGCTGCGAGCCATGCTTGGGCCTTCCACATGACACCCAAAGTAGTGTGAGCTGAAAGCCACACTGCCATTAGTCCCGGGGTGCAACAGGGACACAAGCACATGAAGGTCCCTCCAGCACAGACCTCACTGTTGCGTGGGTAAAAGTCTCTGACAGCCAGGAGAGCTTCCAGGGGCCAAGTGCTGCTGTCCGTGGCTGTTGTCGAAGTGCGTCAGATCTTCATGCAAGCACTGATGACAGGCGCAGACCGTCACTGTCCTCCCCTTATGTGTGAGGAAGCAACGGCTTCCCAGATTCCCAGAGCTCGTATCCCTAGCACTGGGCCCCTGGCCCCTGGCCCCTCGCCCTCCACTGTAACCACGACACCAGGGCGGCACTGCCAGGAGCCCTCGCTGCTTGGGGCCCCGCATGTCCATCTGCCGACTCCACAGGACACCTCCTGGGCTGATGCAACCACAGCGCTTTGTCCCTCGCTGGCCACAGGGGAGGTGAGGACTCCACCTGAGGCTTCTCATGCCCTGTGTTTCTTTTCAGACCTACACGGTGGACATCTTCTCCGCAGGCTGTGTCTTTTACTACGTTGTCTCCGAGGGCAGCCACCCTTTCGGCAAGTCATTGCAGCGGCAGGCCAACATCCTCCTGGGCGCCTACAGTCTTGACTGCTTCCACCCCGAGAAGCACGGTGGGTAGCCGGGCCCTGGGCTGGGGTGGCCTCTGCGCTCCCGGCCTCCCTGCCACCCGGCTGCGTCCCGGCCTCGGGGAAGGCCAGCTCTTGCCAGGGCTAGGGTAGGGCTGGCCAGGGTGGCCCTCGGAGCTCCTGCTCCCATGTGACCTGGGTAAGGCCCCTCTTTTCTTCCAACTTGCCCCGTGAAGGTTGAACAACCGGAGGCATTTTTGCGCTGGCGTTGGGGCAGATAGCTCTGTGCTTTGTACACTGCGCTCTGGAAGGGGCTGTAGTCATCAGACGCAGTTGCTGCTGGGCTGGGAACACGCAGGCTCTGCCCGCACTGTCCTGGCTCAGTACAAAAAGCCTTCCTGAATTCGGGAGTTGTTGGGTTATCGTTGTCCCGTGCTATTCCAGTGCTGCCTTTTGAAAAATTAAAGCTGAATTGTTTTGCTTATGGGTTAGTTTTTATTATTCACTATAGAAAAACAGAGGAGTAGAAAGGCTGTTAATTCCATTATGTGGGGACTAGGGGTACTTAGTGCCTTGGGGTACATTATTGCGATCACTGATCCACACGCTCGTACTTTTACAAAGATGAGGTAAAGCCGCACACACTACTTACAGCAGGCGCATTTTGCAGCTTCATTTAAATGCTGTGTCAACCCGTATGTAACTGCAGGGTCCTCGGAGGGCTCAGTGTCCTGCGCCTGGGGGCACAGCACGGTGCCTCCCAGCCCCTGACCTTGGGCATTTCGATCAGCCCTCCACAGGGTGCAGTGAAGGTCCCTCGCTAGGGAAGTGTGCCGCCGCGAGTTCTCAGTGACTTCGCTGGAATCCTGCATCAAAGGATGTGGACATTCCTAAGGTGTTTGGGAACTCTTGTGGCTTTGAGTGCAGCATGACAAGTTGCCTGTTTATTTTTCTCCCTTATAGAAGATGTCATTGCCCGTGAGCTGATAGAGAACATGATCGCGATGGACCCCCAGCAGCGGCCCTCGGCGAAGCACGTGCTCAAGCACCCCTTCTTCTGGAGTGTGGAAAAGCAGCTCCAGTTCTTTCAGGTACATGCATCTGATCCTCCATCCAAATCTTCAGTGTCTTCCAGGTTTTGAAATGTAGGCAACAATGACAAGGAATAAAAGAAATGATCCCCAGTCCCATAACCAAGGCGTCACACTGTGTATACAGTTTTGTGTGTCCTGCCTTTTTCGAACCATACATAATATTTTAAGGACTTCTCATGTTAGAGTTCTGAAATCTTAGTGGCTGTAGTATGTCACATAGGTCTGCCATAATCTTTAAACTTCATATCATGGAATTTCCAGATACTCGCAAAGGTGGAGCGGGTAGTTCTGTTACCGTCCCCCGGCTTCCACCAGTACCAACTTCTGCCCTCTGCCCACCTTGGATTATTTCAGGCAAATCTCAGGCATCATGCAATTTCATTCAAGTGTTCTGTGAGCCCGGTGACCACGGGTTCATTTGGTGGTTGGACAGCTGTGGCTTTGTGACCTTGCCAGGTGGCTTTGTGGAGGCTGTTTCTCGGATTTACATGGTGCGCACCCCTGGGCCTCCCGCCTAGCACTGGCCCTGAAGAGCAGGCCCATGGGACAGGGCTTTTCTCTGGATGTGGACAGAGTGCACACTCTAGTTTGGAAGTGACTGTCACACTGTCCTAAAGGAGGGGGGAGGGGTCACTACTGCTTTCCCAGACAGCACAAGAGTGTGGCATCAGAGCAGCCACTGCGTCCCAGAGGATGGGACATGCAAATTGCCAAGTCTAGGGCACTTGATGGAAAAGTCAGAACAGGAATAAAACTTACACAGAGACATAGGTTAGGGTCAGTGTCTCTAAGACAGATGTGTTACAGCTAGCTTCCATCCACATCAACTAGCAGTGACTGCCTTATAGCCACCAATGTGTCCCCAGCATGCCCAGGGTGGCAGTCTAACCACTCCAAAGCCTTTCTCTAGAATTTCAAATTAGTTCAGCCAATCTGACTCCATTATTTTCAGAGGAACACTGTGATTCTCTCAGGCTGCTTGGCATGACCAAGGTGTGGCTCCCCACTCCCTATTTCTTCAGCTAGGGACCCATCTTACTGCAGGTAGCTCAGAGAGGCTGGTATTGGGGTCTCCACCAAATTTCCTCTTTGGAAAGAGGGCTCAGCTTGCTTCCTTCCTTCTTTCCTTCCTTCCCCCCACCGCCTCCCCTCCTTTCTCTCTGTCACCCTGGGAACTGACTCCAGGACCCTCACCCTGAGCTACATTCCAACCTCCCCCCAACCTTTGAGGTGGGATCTTGCTCCATCCCTTGAGTCGCCCTGGCTAGGCTTGGACTTGTGATCCTCCTGCCTCAAGCCTCAGCCACCCAGAAGTTGGAGTTCTAGCTCACGTCACTGTGCTCAGCTTGCTTCATGTTTCTCTAGTGTCCACGTGAGGAGTGCGGCCCTGCTAGTGGAATTCAGCAGGGCCTGTCTCAGTGTCAGTCAGTCAGTTCAAGCTTGTTCTTCCCCCTGGTACTGGTTCACTGGCAGAGATAGCTTGTGTCTGTGGCTCTGTGTAGGTGTGGCACCTGTGTCCGGAGACGCACTTCCCAGGTGCCTGCACACCTGGGCTTAGGCGTGCCTCTCCCTGTGGCTCCCTGTGTTGGGCACGGGGTCTCTGGCCTGTCCCTGTGAGTGCTAGCCAGCCACAGCTGCCCACGGATAGAAGCCCTGGGTGCGGGTGGTGGAGCGCAGCGCACTGAAGCCCCGCTCTAGTGGGCTGCAGCCTGGGCTTGGGGAGCCTCAGTCTCTCTAGCTACGCGTCATGGCCATTGATGACGTCAGGATGAGGTCTGTCCTTTTGGGCACAGCGTCTCTCACACTGCCCAACATCTGTTGCTTTGTTTCCTTCCCAGGATGTGAGTGACCGAATAGAAAAGGAGTCCCTGGACGGCCCGATCGTGAGGCAGCTGGAGAGGGGCGGGCGAGCCGTGGTGAAGATGGATTGGCGTGAGAACATCACCGTGCCCCTCCAGACAGGTGCGTGTGCTGGCGTCTGGGAGAGGCTTCGAGAGCGGTGGCAGCGAGTTTTAAGGGGCTAGCATGGACAGAGCAGGTCCTGCTGGCTGGGCTCCATGTCCCTTTTCTTGGTGTTGAGATTTCCTTGGTGTGACTTCTGGGGCCGGGTTACACTTGTAGGTTTGGACCTGGTTTTTCTAGTGACAAGTTCACGCCAGTGTCATGTCCCAAGGGGGACGGTGGAATGCCATGCTCAGGTCTGCTCCCAGGACCCCCTGAAGTGATGTCCTAGTCCAGCTGCTGGTCCCTGGGGCCTAGGAATGGTTCTCCCCTAAAGATGTATTTGTCACTTACCACTGCATCCCTTAATGTTTTTCTAGATCTGCGTAAATTCAGAACCTACAAAGGTGGCTCTGTCAGAGATCTCCTGCGAGCCATGAGGAACAAGGTACAGGGCCTGAGGCTGCTGGGAGGAGGGTGCTGCCGCACAGGCGCCCTCCTCCTGTCCAGTCCTGGGGACGCCTTTCTTCCTACTGGGTTCCACCTTTCCAGGCTCTGTGGGCTCTGCTGGACCTGCCAGGTTAAAAGCTATCTCCTCCCTCATGTGGGTTTTTCTTGGGGTGTTAGTGTGCAAGGTTAAGCACTGGGGAGCAGTGTCTCTGAGCCCATGTCTTTAACAGGGCTCAGCTGCCCTCCATCTGCCCAGCAGCCACCGCACAAGCAGAGGTGGGAGCCTCGGGCCCCTTCCCATACGCACCTGGTTGCCTGCTTGTTCTCTGGGGGCCTAGGGATGATTATCTCTGTGCTGTCACCAAGCAACCTTCTAACAGGGGCCAGTGCCAGGCAGAGGGTGACCTCTAGGCTCATGGGCCATACCCCTCAGTTCTAGGTGGTGTCGCCTTGTGTGGAGCGGCAGGCCCTCTGGCCTGTGCAGCCCTGCGCGACAGGCTGCTCTGGTGGTAGGGCCCCTGCTCAGCTCAGGCTTGCCGTGAGGCATCTTCCTGAAGGAAGGGAAGCGGGCAGGCTGACTGGGACACGCCGTGGGCCCATAGAGCTCCTTTCCTTCCGAGAAGCCGCTAATGCTGCAGTAGGCAGAAGCACCGAAACGGATTGAGAGGCAGATTTGTTTACATCAACGGGCATTGACTGGAATCATTCTCAGAATATCAGGCCTGGCTCTCTGGTGGTCTAGAGCTTTATGAAATAAGCAGGCAGGAAATACAGAGGCAGAACAGCTTGTCACTTGGGGATTGGTTTGTACAGTATGCATCGTAGCGTCCAGCTATGCGTCACAGTGACCAGCCATTTCTAGGAGACAAGAGCAGCTGGAAGTGGAACAGGAGCTGTTACCTGGGCAGCGAGCACACTGCAGGGTCCCGGCTGGGCGTGTGTGTGCGTTTCCTGCCACGCCAGCGCTGTCTCTTATCCGCCAATCTGTTTGCAGAAGCACCACTACCGGGAGCTGCCTGCGGAGGTGCAGGAGACCCTGGGCTGCCTCCCTGACGGCTTCGTGCGCTACTTCACCTCGCGCTTCCCCCACCTCCTCGCACACACCTACCGGGCCATGGAGCTGTGCAGCCACGAGAGACTCTTCCAGCCCTACTACTTCCACGAGCCCCCCGCGCCGCAGCCCCCAGGGACTCCAGATGCCCTCTGAGCCGCGGCGCCCCTTCTGTTCCAGTGGCCCCAGTTGTGACAGCGGGCCTGGTCTCTAGCCTGGAGCTCGACATCACCCTAGCCTAGCGGGCAGACCAGGCTTCCCAAACCAAGTGCCTTGAGCTGCGCCGTCTGCGGCCAGCAGAGGGGGATGCTGCCCCCAGGAGGTGGGAGAAGCCGCCCTGGAGGCCCCTGGGGAGCTGGGAGGAAGCTGGCCTTGGAAGCTGCTCTCTAGATGTCTGCAGAGGCTGGCTCGCCTGAGCTGTGAAAGGAGCCCTGCTGACCTGCTGGACGCCTCGCCAAGACTTAGGGCTGTGTGCAGTTCCTGTTTGATATCCGCCTGTGGACCTCCCGGGCAGGGAGTAGAAGAGTCCTAGGTTTTGGCTGCTGCAGGCTGGGCCGCAGGAAGTGCAGCCTTGGCTGGGTGGGGGCTCAGGCAGCAAGGTCCTGAGGAGGGGGATGTTCAGAGGTGGAGCCTCGCGGCCCAGAGGGTGGCAGAAGGCATGAGTGACGTCAGGGACTGGCCAGCGATGGATGGCTGCAGGCCGTAGACAGGTCTGCGGGTCTCGGGGAGAGGAGGAGGATGCTCTGTTCAGGAGGCAGCGCCAGCGCGTAACACTGGTGGCCTGAGCAGTAGTCTGTGGTGGGTCATGTCCTGGGCCACCAGGCAGGAGAGAAAGAGGTTGCTGCCCACTAGCAAGGGCAGCCAAGACCACAGGGCCAAGTCTGGGGGGTGAGTGGGGGCAGCTGAGTAGGGGCCCCCAGCCACCAACAGGAGCGCCTGAGCTGCTGGGGGGTCGGGCTGCTCCATCTGTGGCAGCAGGTCGGGACACTCGTGCAGAGTCCGGCCCAGGGCTTGGGAGCCGCAGCCAGAGGACTCTGGGCTGTGTGGGCCAGCGTTTGTGCTCCTCCTGCGAATGTTAACAGCTGCATTTTGATCAGACCGTAGAATGCTAAGCTAGCGTAAGTCACTTAACAGGAACTTACTTGTGAAGAAGAAATGTGGGATATGAGATCTTCTGTTTCGTGTGGTACCAAAAATCTCTGTCCCCTCCAGAGGGTCCCGTTGAGATCTCCTTGTGATGCTGAAGGGCGAGACAGTCTAGCAGCACTGTAAACATATTAATGTCAAAGTAACGCTCCTTAAGTTAGGCCACTTTTTTTTCTCTAAAATTAAGTTTTTTAACTTTAGTTTCAGTCAAAACTTCTTTTCCCTCCTGAGAGCCCCAGAGGTTAGGACACAGCCGGCCCGAGGGAGGCAGTGCTGTGCGTCTGCTGCTTCCGCGGAGAGGTCGCTGCCGTGCAGCCCCCCAAGAGGAGCCTCAGTTCCACTGATCCAAGCAAGCGTGGCATCGGCAGCTTGGGGCACTGACAGAGTCGCTCCCGCTTCCTCCTGAGGAGGTTTTCAGACTGTTTGTGTCAGGGCTCCTCATCCAAAGCTTGTTCTGCCTCTGAGGAATTCAGGCCACTCTCAGAAAGGCCACAATGACCTTTTTCTTAATGCCAATAGATCCTGCACCTTTGAAACTCAGGAGTGACCCTGCGTAGGCCTTGGGACCGACCACGGCCTTTTGCTGGGCTTCCTTGGCTTCTCTGATTGCGTGTTCATCTTCCGGGTTCGTGGCCAGGCTGGGTTTTCTTTTGCTTTGATACATCTCTGCCAGTTGTGCCTTCCACAGGGCCCTCCACACGGCTCCAGGTTGCTGTGCCTTGGGTCAGAGGTGACAGCCCTGGAGAGCGCAGGGACGAGGGAGGTGCCGTGTGTCAACCAGCAGGACTGCCACGGCACTGCAGCTCACCGTGTGCTTGCGGATGTTTTCTCTCCAGGAAGTGCCCGGGTGATTTCTAGCAGCCCAGTTTGTTGTCATCTCCCCATTTTTAGCCCAGTTTGCCTGGAGTCAGTTTTTCAGGTTCCTTTTCCGCTCACCAAATGGATTCATTTCCCAGACTCCTTTACTCCATGTATTTTAGTTGAGGATGGACTGCAGTAAGGTGGGCAGGTCCTGGGGTACCGGGACAACCAAGAGCCAGGCAGCCCCGCCTCTACTTTCGGAAGGCTTCTGGTGGGACAGCGCATAGCCCCGGCAGCGGAGAAGGGCACGTGTGTGAGGTCCGCACATCTGCCTTGACATGCCCGCATCCGTGTCCACCGGCCCTGGGCCGGTCCCTTTGCCTGTTGTCTCTGCTCACCTCAGGACCCAGGCGCAGTCAGCCCTCCAGCTTGGTCTCACAGACACGTTTTGCCATCTGGTGCATCCCCCAGAGCCTGGAATCCCAGGTCCCTGCTGCGCTCATCAAGGGCAGCTCTGCAACCTTGCACCCCTGCTTCCAGCTGCGGGGCTCTGGGGTTCTGGAAGGCTGACTGTATGCCATCGCCCTCCTCGGGACAATGCCAAGTTGTACCTGCTGGGAGTCACAGAACCTTATAATTTATTTGGGTCTCGTCTAGACCCACGTGCGGAACCCTCCTGTCCGCGCACCCGAACCCTTCTCTAGTTGCTTCTTGAGTCTTTTGTTGCAATTGTTGAAAGTGCTGCATGTCATGAGGCCCCAAAGCACTTGCACTTTTAAGAACACCGGAGTCCCCTGCCCAGTTGCGGGGCGTCTGGGGCATGGCTGCGAGGCCTGGGCCTGGGGCTCTGCTCTCTGTCCCCTCTGTGAAGCAGCACTGGCCAGTCACCTGCCAGCAGCACACAGAGCAGTAGGTCCAGCAAAATGCTTGCTTCCAGCTCCAGGAGAGGCTGTGTGTGTGCTCAGCGATCAGTTACCCCTGGTGGCTCCCTGTCACTGCAGGAAGAGAAGCATACTGGCTGCTGAGGGAAGTGTCCACAGGGCCACTCTCCAGCAGCTGGCCCTGGGCCCAGGGTGGTCTTCCCCCTGTTGACATTCTCCATCTGTTCCCTGGATCCTTATCTCTGTTGTTGTCACTTGTTGGTCAGCGGGTATCAGGAGAGGTGGTGGGAGAGGAAGTGTCGCAGCCCTGGAAGGCGCCTCTTTCCTTCCCGTTTGCCTGCTCCCATGGTGTCTCCCGCTGTGCCCCCGGGCCCCAGGCGCAGGGTATTCACTGGCAGCCTTGGCCTTTCCTGGAAGGAGGTCAACGGTCACCCTGCGCAGGAGCCCAGCTTCTTCCTTCAGGGTTGGGTCCTTAATCGTTTAAGCCCAAGTGTCTGTTCTGTTCCTGTTTTCTATTGTCTTTATGAAGCAGTAATTTTCCAGGAGGGACTCGGGCTCTGGTGTGTGTTTCAGTGCCTCAGTCCTGTCTGTATTCACTGGAAGCTTGCAGTGGATATAGCTGCCTCGAGCTGCCCGCTGGCAGCCTGCCCCACGCTGGGAGCAGTGGTCCTTCCCAGGACCCCCAGGCTGCGCTGGGGCAGCCCCACACCCCTGAGCTGTGCTGGTCAGCTGCGTGGCGTTCTCGCGCATGACCCTTGTGTGCTGTTCTTTTTTGCAGTGACCTATTTATTGAACCTATTTATATTTATTTAATTTTTACTCTGAAGTATATCGAGTTACATTTGCACTTGCTTAAAAGCACATCAGATCCGGTTTGGACGACACCCCTGGCCACTTAGAACTGGAAAAGGAAGAGTTAAACTGTATCCTAGCATGACATGGTCGCCATGTCTTTACTGGGTGAATAATCTGGTCGGGTAAAATGCTAATTTGTAGGTGATTTTTTTTTTTTTAAGTCATGTGCCATTGTGTCTTCTCTGTGGATGGTTGTTTTAATTGATGTGTGTTAATTGTGTGATACAATCCTTCTTTGTGGAACCTAAAATCTTTTTAGCTTTATATTTTATGAACTGCCAGATTTTTATGTGTATTTTTAAAGCTTGATGATATGAGGGTTGTTATCTAAAGCTAAAGTTCTATTTTTGTACTTTCTGTACAGTTTTATAATTCTGCTGATTGATGATGGGATCTGATGCTGAGCCAACACAAATAAAGGTAGTCTTAGGTCTGGGAGTCCATTTGTCCTGAAGACTGACGCGCCGCCCCCAGGCGCGGGGCTCGTTCCACCGTCTCGGGGACGGGCCTTCTGCGAGGCTGAGCAGCCAGCACGGCTGTGGGAAGACAGAGCGTCCCGGTGTGCACAGGGCCCTGGCGGAACTTCCTCCTGGGGCTCTGTGTGGGGAAGCTTCCATCAAGGCGCAGGAAGTTCCCCAAGGGGGTACTTGGACTGAGTTCCAGGAGGGTGGCCAGTTAGAAGGGACACGCCAAGATGAGACTGAGACTCAGAAGAGAGTGCGGAGCGCGTGTACAGGAGGGATTCTGGGCCCAGAAAGCCAAGAGGGGAGAACTGCTGGGGTCACTTGGCTAAGCAAGCCCCAGAAATCACTCCCCTGAAGCACGTCAGCGGCACACAAGACAGCCACGCGCATGCCAGGCACTTGGGCCGCTCTGCGTGCAGGTGAGAGGTCTCCCAGTGCAGCCCCCCAACCCGGCCCAGCCTGCCTGGAGGAGTCGGGAGGCGCTGCGTGCTCTTGCTCCAGGCTGGGGCTGCTCACCACAGAAGGCCCCGAAGGGCCTGCCAGACCCGGGACAGCTCAGTAGGAGCAACAGGGGGGCAGGCTGTCCTGTCCCCATCTCATCTTAGGAAAGCCCAGGAGTAACAGGACTGTCTCCCCCACCTCCCTCCCTCTTTCTCTGAAGTGCTGGTCTTGAACACAGCCGCATTCTCGGGAGAAAGCGAGCTTGTGTCACGTATAGCACTGGGGACACGTCTCAGACTCCCCTTGGGCTCCTAATAGGGCCAGGATCCGTCTTCGCAGTGGCCCAGGTCTGGGAGCAAGGCCATCTGGTAGCTCCTCTGACTCCCTCTCCTGCCTCTGAGAAGAGGGTGGTGCAGGACCTCGGGAGGCCCCCGGCAGAGGGACTCGGCCACGCCCTGCGTGGTGCTGTGAGGGTTGGTGGTCCAGGGGCCTGAGGTGGCAGCAGCTCTGCGTGCCGAGTCAGCATCCGCCCTTGAGGGTGCAAGAATGCACACGTGCATTCCAGTCTGCCTTCAACGGTGAGTGTACCCACTTACACTTCTTGTATTTGTACCGTCTGTGACATTTGACCTACAGTCTCTGCCAGCTGTGGTAGCACACACTTGTAGCCCCGGCACGCTGGCAGACTGCAGCGGGAGAGCTTCAATTTTAGATGCCACCGAGGCAGTTTAGCAAGACCCTGGCTCAAATGAAAAGTGGCTGGAGATGTAGCTCAGTGCAGAGGCCCTGGCTTCAGGCCCCAGTACTGAAGAACAAAGCAGCACGAGATGGGGGTGGGGATGGGACTGGGGAGCTGTAGCTTCTTTTTAAGGACATCTTTCTGAAAATGTTCTTGTCCGTACGTTTGCAGTACCTAATGACCACATTCCTCATGGAGCTGGTACATGCACGCAGCATGTCGCGTCCCTTCCCGCCCTCCATTTCTTGGTGCCCTTTCCCTTTTGCAAAAGACCTATCTCCCCATTTCCTGTTAATCTATTGTTTTGTTCTTTATATTTTGGGCTTCTCATATAAGATACTGTGCAGCCAGGTGTGGTGGCACAGGCCTACAATCCCAGCGCTCGGGAGGCTGAGGCAGGAGGATTGCTGTGAGTCTGAGAGGAGCCTGAACTGCATAGTGAAACCCTGTGTCACAAACACCCGCCCCCCCCAAAAAAAGACCATGCAATAGTAAAGCTCGTGTGGCCGATGGCAACCATCGTACTTCACTTTAGTGCGTGAGTGGCCTGGCCCTCGGCAAGGCCAAAGCCTCGGTGGCCTTGGGACACCTGCAGGACGCGGCCCGGGGAAGCCATGCTGGATGACGCGGGGAGGCCTCTGTTGTGCTGCTTCTACCTCTCACCGCTGTGCCCTCCCCGCCCACCTTCGCTTCCTGGCTGGCTGGAGACGCGCAGGTGTTCTGAGAACAGGCAGGGGACGCAAAGCTAGAAAAGGAACCCCCAGCGTGGGCATGGCCCGGGCAGCGGCCCAGGCCTCGAGCACTGGGCCGAGGGGCTCGGGCTGGAGGCGGCCGCCTCGCCCCAGTGGAGGAAACAAGGCTGTGAGGGAGCCTTGCCCTGCGGCCAGCGATGGCGGCCAGGCCCTGCAGTGCAGGCTGCGGCCTGCGTGCGTGCTGCCCCACTTTGCATGTGCTTGAATGATGGGGCTGGAGTGGAAGATGGGGCTGGAGGGGCTGGGAAGAAAGGAGAAGTTTGGACCAGAGAGATGTGAGAGCTGGCGTGTCCTTGTTTCTGTCCACAGTGAGGGCTCTGCGTCTCAGGAGGACCCTACAGTGGCGAAGCGGCCTCCCGAGCGGGCCTGGGAGTGCACTTCCCTGGCTGCGGGATTTGGACTCAACCCTTCCGCAGAAGGATCTGTTGCCAGCCATAGCACAGGACTGCCCGTGAGGTGTGAGTCACAGCAGGCAGGCCGGGAGGGGAGGCACCACAAAAGCTGCCCAGCTGGCCACGGGACCCACAGAGTGCCAGCCACAGCGCGCAGGGGCTGCGGAGGCCCGGCTCGCGTTGCTGCCATTTTTCTGCCTCAGGACTTGAGGAAGCAAACCGAAGGGGCAGCCTGGCGTGAGGGGAAGGTGGCTGGACTAGATTCACAAGACAGATCCGGAGAACCAGTGACAGTGGCCGAGGAACAGCCACTACTGCCTTTGGCTGGAGCTTTTCCTCTGAGCTGAGGATTTCAAGATGACAGCAGGCTTCCCTCCCACACCCAAGCCTTACCAAGGAGAAGAAATAAAAAGCTGTCTCAAAACGGGGGGAGCTATTGGGACATTCAGGGGAGAACAGATCCAAGAGGGAGGCTTCAGCCTCACAGTGGTGAGGGAGGAGGAGGTCAAGTGCAGCAGAGGCGACTCCCAGCGCACCCAGCCCATGGGGCCCATGGTCAGCTGGTGTCCTCCTGTGGGGCCCAGCGTTCCCCGATGGCTCCCTGCCCCCACCAGCGCGTAGCAGGCTCTGGGGGAGGTGTTTCTGGATAAAGCAGGGTAGACAGAGGCTGAGCAGGAGCAGAAGGGCAGTCACCATTGTCACCGAGGAGCTGGTCCCACCCAGCAGCTCCCTTGCAGGGCAGGGGCCAGGAGCAGAGGCAGCAGCCAGCCAGCCGCACCCCTTCCTGGGCCCCGCCTGCAGGCCAGGGCGTAGTCCCTCCCTGCACCTTTGAGAAGACGCAACTCTGTGGGATGAACCTCACAGAGGGGTGACAGCGGAGGACACAGGCTGAGGCTGGAGGAAGCAGAGTCCCATGTCCTCAGAGATATCCCGGGAGGGGAGGCATCACATCCATTCGCCCTGAAAAAGCAACTCGGAAACCTCAGACATGAAAAGACAAAGGTGTTAAAGTCAACAGCAATCCAGAAAAGGATGTATAATAAAAATACTGATTTTCAAACAGAAAGCTACACAATAAAAAGGCTATAGAGAATAGAAGGGAGACAGAACACCCCTATCAAGACAATTTCAAATCAGTTCTCCTAAGGCAATTTGGTTTTGCTTTCCTAATAAAGATTTACCAGTTGGTCCAAAACAGAGAGAGAGAGACAGAGACAGAGAGAGAGAGAATATGCAGCACACACAATAAAATGAAAGAAAAGTGGGGACAGACTGACCATACCCAGAAGACGACCCAGATCCTGACATCTGAGCATATGGCCTCCCCTGGTACTCCAGTTCATCTGGTCAATTTGGCTAGATTAAGAAAGTCCTGTTGTTTTTGTTTATCTTTTTAAAAATTTCTTTAAAAGCCTCAAAAATAATAATGTTTTTAAAACATGTAGTAGACGTAGTCATCTGTTATACAATACACACTGTATCCAGAGCTGGGCGGGTGACGGGGCACAGTGGGAGGGCATCTGTGCTGACTGGACCTGGGTGTCAACGATGTGGCATGAGAAAAGAATTCACATGCTTACCGCTGCCCCCGAAGCCCTAACTGAAAGCAGCGCGGGGAGCTGGTGACTAAGGAGAGGAGGAACGAAGCGATGAAATAAAACTCAAAGCAAACCCTATACACAGTGTTCGCCATCCAAGGTAGAGTGGAAGGCAACATTCTCCACAGGCAGGCAGCCCGCAGCGCCGGCCCTGGCTACAGGTTGGAATGTCTCCAGTGGCCTCCGAGCCGCTGTGGGGGCGGCTGAGGACTGCAGGCCCCAAGGGTGGCCCTGGTGGCTGGGGTGGGGCGGGACTATGACATGATGGGATCCCGGCAGAGTTGGGGGTGCTAGGGAGGGGGGGTGGAAGGGGCTCGCTTTGCTCCTTGGAGGAGTGAAATGCATGTTTTCCTTTGGAAAGAAGGGTCCCACGCTCCTGGGTTAGAACATCTCATTGGGCAGGGCTGGTGTCCGCAGGCCAGGCAGGCCAGAGCTCCAGGTGAGAAGGAAGGGCGGGTGAAAAGCCCCTTCCTACGTGGGCTCAGGAGCCCAGCCCCAGGGCGGGGAGCTAGGGGTCCACGTCTGCAGGGCCTCCTGCCTTGCTGGCCTCACAGGTTCTTGGTGACCAGCTGGGTCTTGTAATGCTTGGTGAGGTCTCCTCATGAAGCACTTCTGGCACTGGGACACGCAAAATGCTTGTCCCATGTGTGGGCGCAGGCATGCCTCTGTAGCTCGTCGCTGCACATGAAGAACAGGTGCGCAGGAAGGGCTGCTTGCACCTGCAGCAGGACGTCTTCTGGACCGCCTGCCCGCAGTCTGGGATGTGGCACTGGTGCTGCTTCTTGCCCTGCTCTCCGGACCTCTTCTCCCTGTCCTTGCAGTTGGGACACGTGCAGGCCATGTGGCACAGCTTCTCCCCAGGCTGTGCCTCCGGGGCCAGCCCCTGCTCCTCTGCGCTGGATCCGGGTGGGGCTCAGCCCGCTGATGGTCAGGTTGTTCTCCCAGGCATTCTGCACTGTCACCTGCTGCAGCGGCTGTCAGCTGGGCGGCATTCAGGCTAATGACGGCCTGCAGGTGCGATTTTGGGCAGCGGCTGCTCCTGGCACAGGATA